CAGGGGCGACATAAATGAACGGAGATTACAAACAGGATTACAGCAGTGGTAAAAGAACGAAGTGATAAAAGAGAGAGTGAGAGAGAAGATATAGGAAGTGAAAAGAAAGAAAGGCTTCTGGGTTATTGAATCATTAATGCCGATTGCGTAACAATACACGCTGTTCGTTGGTTAAATTGGCGCGATGCCGATCTTACTTTACTGGCAACAAGTCGCCGCGATCGCAACGAGCACGTATCACGCGTATACTCGCGTATAGACACGAGATAGCTCCTTGTGTGAAAAAGAGAAATAGAGAACCGAATGGAACATGGAAAGAATGAGCGAGTCGAAGCCGACAAAGCGGCTAGGCGTGCTTACTGAGCAAACGAGTATGATCGATTCTTACCTATGGATACAACCAATCATATTTAATTGTCCGGAGAGCAGACCCCTAGCCGTTTTGTTGACTTGAACGCGCCCACTGATTTTGCTCAGGTACTTAAAAAAAAATTTAGATAGATAAAGATCTAAAAATAATTACGTTAAATCAAAGTAATTTATATAGGAAACTCGAATATGATGCTGTAAAAAATTTTGATATTCTATCAGCTAGCTTGAGCTACGATAATTATTTTGATAGTTCAATAAAATTATTTTCAGATCTATATCTATTTTTAAATATTATATTTCAGTAAAACTGCTTTTTCTATGAACAGAATCGTTATTTATTACATATTCTATATGTATACTATAATTCCTCTTCGGTAATTCTTAACGATGTCGTTAAGAATGTATGCTGGTTTTATGAATAACTGTATAAATGTAAGAAATCGTTAAAGCCAGATTTTTATTTTCTGATTAATGATTAACCTTTTGAATTATGGTTAAGCTTAACCCGATAATAACGTAAAAATTGTGATTTTCCTAGCTGTCGACAATCACTAGACTGATGATTTTGTAGCTGTGCAGCAAGTAACTTTCGAAATTACCACTAGAAAACTATTATAGTTTAATGATTAATCGTAGCTGAAATGAACATAATTTTTACATCAGTATCATCAAGAGTTAAATGAGATGAAATCTAAATCACAATTAAGTTTTATCAATAAAACACTGTTAGAGCTAAAGGCTAATGTATCTTCAAGCATTAAGTATAATTAAATAATAGTAAGTATTAATAATCAGATACATAACTGAAGTATTATTGAAGTGAGAAATAAATGAGTAATCAAAACAATAACATACGGTTGTACAATTCTCTATGCTGTAAAAAGACCAGGAGTAACCATTGTGCATAATGACAGCTGTAAATATAAAGGGACAAATTTCTTATCAAAGTCAAATATTTTAAATAACGGCTTTACACTACTTAAAAAATTTGAATCCAATTCTGATTGGTCACAAGTGTCACTACTTTGAACCGACTGTACATCTTTGAAATTGGTTCACCTGGTCTTCTTATATCATGGTTTTAACTAGAGTAGTCTGTGTAGAGAGAGGGAAGAAGGAAGGAAGAGAGAGAGAGAGAGAGAGGAAGGGGGAGCGCGAAGCGGCGAGAGGCCAGTTTGAATTCTCGGCGAACTTCACGCCAGTGCCGGCGTAATCTGCTCGGCGTAAACATGAAGTCTTGAAGTCCACGCAACCGAAATTACTAAATACTACAAATTAATTGTATATATATACATATATAGATTAAGGTACATAGGAGCGTCAAGCGTTGTAGGCTCGCTATTCGTCGATTTTGAACAAACGACCCGTTTTTAGCGAATAATAAGCTCCCAATGTTCAACGCTTGACGCTCCTATGTAAGGTAACTTAAATATATATACATATATATTCCGCATTCACATGCGCGCCGCTCCGCGCTCGACTATCTTCTCACCTCCTCCCCGAGCCACTCGTTCATTTCTAATACCCGTCCCTCGCCCCGTCTCGCCCATTCCGAATGATTCCGACTTGCCGAGGCTGCGCGATACGCGTCGGCCTGCGGCGTACGTGACCGGAGAACGGCCTGCGCGCGCATCCCAACGCCGAAAACAAGCGGTGGGACATAAACCAGCGTCGCTCGGCGTCCTTGTCTAACAATTTCGGCCGCGTGAGCGACAAGGGCTAACGTAAACACGTCGAGTGGATCGACTGCCCTCCTCGCGAAGGAGAGAAAGAGTCGATCACCTTCCTCTTTTTTCTTTTTTTCAAGAGACGTACGGCGTAGAAAACTCTGGCGCTCCCGTATTATTACGCGCAAAATGGCGGAGCCGGCGAGCCGGAGCGAACGAAGCGAAGCCAGCGACTCTCACTCGCGCGCATCTTCATGTTGTCAATGTCGAGAAAATTCGAGAAAGAGTCTTGTGCGCGCGCGCGCGGCTTCGAAGCTTCGCGAACGTTCGCGAAGCGGAGGTAGATAACGTATATTCGATAGAGTACGCGATTTGCGTAGCATATTGGAACTCGTGTGTGATAAAATCAATGCACGAGAGCAAATAATCGGTTACCTATACAGCACTGACTTCCTATACGTGCCCTAAAGACATTCAGAGGATGTTCTCAAATAAAGGGTGCTGTACGGGTAGGTTCCTTCCCCCTCCCTCGCTGTGTGACACCTGCCGCGTGAATCTCATCTTACGCCAAAACAAGTTACGATAAAATTTGAGAAAAACGAGATGTTAAGGATTTAGCTAAAAAATATATATCAGTTAATACTTGCCAAAAAATTTTTATCATGAATACATCCTAAAATCAATTGTAAAAAGATGAAACGAATAAATTGGTTTATAATGGCTTTATGCAGTGAAATGATCATATTTTGCTGCAACTTTAGATAATTTTTAAACGAATAAATGGATCCGAATGCACTTTTGTACGAATGTTTATTGGAGTTTTATTAATGTATATGAAACATTTGATTAAATAATTTTTAAACTATTAGGAGTATTGGTTCAAATTTTATATAGACCCTCAGATGTAATAAGAGAACACGTTATGTGAATTTTTAACATTTTTAGTAATGCTTTGAGATGTGACACATATGTATATCCTAAAGATAAACAAATCAATCAATCAACAGATCATTCCAACAATATTTTATTTAATATTAATGCAATATTGCAAACGTCACCGCTAGCTTCTGTGTTGTATCATAATTCAAGTTTAAAGTTGCTATAAGCGATACAACAAATGATAAGAAACGAGCCAATAATTAGATCAATAAACAAAATCGAGTTTATTAAACATCAAAATCGAAAAAAGAAAGAATTAAAACCAACGCAAAACCGTAATCGCACCAGCTGTAATTGCGCGAATACGATTAGGAATTGACAATTACTTTTGCGCCAATCAGAACGAAGCAGCTATCAATTGCTCCGAATAATTTTAACTTGACTCACGATCAAGTTTTTCTCATTGTCAGACAATTAATAAATTGCAATAACGAATAAAATAAGAAACTGGAGAAAAGTAAGATACGTAAATACAATACCATAATAGATAAACATTGGAAGGAAGGGTCAGAAATAAAATAATAAATACTTAATCCGAGCTACTCTTGTCGGCAAGACGAACGTCATCGAAACGGAAGGTGGGGGGGGGGGGGGGGGGGGGGAACCGGGGAGGAAAAAAAAAAAAATCGTACGATCCTCGCGTGACGTACGTGGCGGATACCGTGAAATGTCACCCGTATTCTTTCGTGATTTCGGAAGAATTCGCGACGAAGTTGCGTCGCGCGGGCCTCTCGCCAACAAACCTCGCCGTTTGCGTCATCCTGCGGCGGAGCCGTAGTCTGAGAACCACGTTGCCTACGTGACTCGCAGGGCGTCGACGGAGCCTCGTGATTCGCCGGCAAATGGTGGCGAGAGAGAGAG